AGAACCCTTAACCACAAAAGACTGAGTAGCTTATTTAAGTATTCTTGAAATGTTAAAAGGGAACTCTGTACTAAGCTGAGAAGATTAAAGTTTTCTACTGACTCATAGAACAGTGATAGCAAGATGGTGTGTGAAGTCCAGCACACGCCAACTTCAATTAAGCTTCATCCTGGATAATTAACAACATGATAAGAAATAAAGCGAAGAGCAAAATTACTTGTTCTGTTAATCCTAAAGTCTGGAATCATTAGAAAGAAAAGACAAAGAAGGAGGTCAGGTGTGGTTGTCAGGCTGTTGGTGATAGGAGACAGGCAAATAAGGAAGATCACAGCACAAGATGCTATAATGAAATAACTAATCATTATAGAAGTTCAGTTCGTAATTTTTTTAAACACTATCCACCACTCCTGTTCCTACATATGACCAAAGTTACTTCCAGATATGGTTAAAAGTAATGCCTCCAAAACCTACCCCCAAGTTGGTTAATCTATTTACCTGGTGGAGGCAGCCAGGAGCCATAGGGGGAGTAAAGAGTCAAAGACTATTTATATTCAGAGGCTAGTTGGAAGAAATTCAAGGACCTAAGCATGAGAACAGAAATATAAAATTTATTTAAGGAATTATTAGCATAAAAAAGAAGGGAAAAGAAGAGAAAAATTATTCAGTATTAAGTCTTTTAGAAAGAGGAAAAAGATAAAGAGCATGGTAACAAAAATCAAGTAATAAATTTCCTTGGCCTCCCAAAAACAGCATCCACAGTTGTTATGTGACAATTATACCATTAAATTAAGGCTGAAAAAACCAGGAAAATGTCCCTTTTTTTCTGTTAAAAATATAGTCAGCTAATTATGTATAGTACATGTTCATGTTTGAAGTAATTGATGGTCAGTAACCTTTCAAATAAACATCAAATATGCACAAAACAAATTACCTGGATAGCTGCCTCCTTCTAGGGCATCATAACTGTTGGGCATTGGAGAAGCACTGCTTGTGGTAGAAGAGCTGTCAACACCTAAAAGGAAAACCAAAATATCTACTAAGTTTAAAATGACAACATATCTTAAAGCAACCTTTGGCAATTTTGAAAAAGATGTTTTGCTGATCTAGGAAAATTCCTGATCCTAAAAACATGAAATGACTGATGTTTAATGACATTTAAAAAACCATACATAAATTTCTGATAATAAGAACAGGGGGTGAAAGTGGGAAGAATATGGAGCTGATAAAATTTAAGCAGACACACATGAAGGCATCTTAAAGAAAAGATACACAACTTTCAAAGTAGTCAAACACACAAACATCAATTTTAGATTGATAGAAATGTTAATAAAATCGCATCTCAAAGATTGGATCTACCAAATCACAAGCTATTAAATACCCTATATCAATATCACGTTATTTTCAGATAATTAAATTTTAATTACTTTTATAACTCAGCATAGCTGTATGAAACCTTCATAAGAGAGGAATCTATGGCTTGGGTTGCTACCTAGCATGTTACTAAGCTTTTCTATGCCTCGGTTTATTCATCTGCTCAATCAAGATTAAACAGTACCTGCCATATTTAATAACAAAAATAAAAGGTACTCTAATAAATATGTGTTAGATTATAAGAATTTTTATTACATGTATTCGTTCAAAACTTGAAAGACTAACAGGACTATTCAGTGGCCATTTACGATAAAACGTAGTGGTGTCACACAGCTAGTAGAACATATATTTCTCTCATTTATTCACTTAACAAATATTTTATTGAGAGCCTACAGTTAACATAGGTAGATACACTAGAGTATATACTAATGAATAAAACTGAAAACGGGGCTTCCCTGGTGGCGCACTGGTTGAGAGTCCGCCTGCCGATGCAGGGGACGCGGGTTCGTGCCCCGGTCCGGGAAGATCCCACATGCCGCGGAGCGGCTGGGCCCATGAGCCATGGCCGCTGAGCCTGCGTGTCCGGAGCCTGTGCTCCGCAACGGGAGAGGCCACAACAGTGAGAGGCCCGCGTACCACAAAAAACCAAAAACCAAAAAAAAAAAACAAAAAAAAACTGAAAATGCACACAGCCTCTCTCTTGTGTTAAAGATCTTGGTCTTTTTCACCAGAAGATAAAATTCTATGGTACAGAGGTTATCCCTGGCTCCTAACACCAATATTATAACCGGGTTTAAACTACATTTTAGGTTAATTTTCAACTGTGATATAGAAAGAATAGATATGCATAACTATCTTTCATTGAATAATTTTGGTTAACTACAAGAACTCAGTGTATTGACTCAGGGCATAATAGCTAAAATTTTTTGTGTAGGAACATTTTGTTATCAGTAAAGAACATGATCTGGAGGCAAAAGACTGTAGTTACATTAGACTCTGTCGTTTAATTGCTAAATAACTTTGGGTAAGTGACAATCATCATAATACTCTCTCTCGCAAAATGAGAACAATTTTTTAAATGCCCTTTGTGTGCTTTTTAATGTTCTTGTGATGCTTAGATAAGACTGGTTATGAAGCAACTTACAAAACATGAAGGTTATAAAATAAATAATAGGTGAAAGACACTAATACATACCAAGTGTTTTCTTTGTGATAAATAGAATATTGTTGCATATATAGGTCATTACTCTTAATTAAGAATGGGAAGTAATGGCTCTTCCTTTTCCTTGTATTTGTGAATTTATAACTAAAGAAGAATGCTGATATACAAGGTCAAAAGTCTTGAGGTAATAGCATTAAAAAACAATACACCAAAACCCAAATATTCACCAAGAGATGAATGGATGAACAAAATGTGGTGTATCGATACAATGGGATATTATTCAGCTATAAAAAGGAATTAAGTACTGATACAGGCTAACATATGAATGACCCTTGAAAACATGCTAAGCAAAAGAAGCCAGACACAAAAGGTCACACACTGAATGATTTTATTTATATGAAATATCCAGAAAAGGTAAATCTCTGGAGATAGAAAGTAGATTGGTGGTTACCAGGGGCTGAGAGGAGGGGGAAATGAGAAGTTACTGCTTAATGGGTATAGAGTTCCTTTTTAGGATGATGAAAATGTTTAGTTTTATCAAGTTCACTACATTTACAAAGTTAGAACTAGATAGAAGTGGTGACTGCATGACAACCCAAATGACAGAATCAGATAGAGGTGGTGGTTGCACAACATTGTGAATATACTAAATGCCACTGTATACTTTAAAATGTTTAATTTTATGTTATGTAGATTTCACCTCAAAACAAAACAAAACCAATATGCCAAGACATTTCAATGGGGAAAGAATATTCTCTTCAACAAACTGTGCTGGAACAACTAGATATCCACATGCAGCAGAATGAAGTTAGACCCCTTCCTTACACCTTATGCTAAAATTAACTCAAAATGGATCATAGACCTAAATGTAAGTGCTAAAACTCTTAAAATATGGGAGTAAATCTTCATGACCTTCGGTTAGGCAGTGGATTTTTAGATATGACATCAAAAGCACAAGCAACAAAAAGAAAGAAAATAGATATACTGGACGTCATCAAATTAAAAACTTTTGTGTTCCAAAGATATCATTAAGAAAATAAAGAGATAACCCACAGAATGAGAGAATATATTTGCAAATCATGCATCTAGTTAATAAAGGTCTAATACGCAAAATATTTACAGAACTCTATGACTCAACAATAAAAAGACAAATAACCAAATTAAAACGAGTAAGGGATCTAAACAGACATTTCTACAAAAAAGATAAACCAATGGCCAATAAGCACATGAAAAGATGCTCAACATCACTAGCTATTCCGGAAATAAAAATCAAAACCACAGTGAGATACCATTTCACATCCACTAGGATGTCTGTAATTCAAAAGACAGATAACAGAAAGTTCTGGCAAGGATGTGGAGAAATGGAAGCCTCCACAAGATTGTAAAATGTTGTAGCCATGTTGAAAAACAGTCTGACAGTTTCTCAAAAGGCGGCAAACAGTTATCACATGACCTGGCAATTCCATTCAAGAGAAATGAAAACATACACCCCCCACAAAGAGTTGTGCATGAACGCTCACAGAAGCATTATGCATAACAGCCCAAAAGTGGAAACAACCCAAATGTCCAACAACTTACGAACAGGTAAATAAGATGTGATATGTATCCACACAATAAGATATTATTTAGCAATAGAAAGGAACACAGGACTGATACATGCCATAACACAGATGAAACTTGAAAACATTATGCTGAGAAAGAAGCCAGTCACAAAAACCAAATAGTATGTGATCTATTTATATGAAAGGTTCAAAACAGACAAATCTATAAAAACAAAAAGTAGATTAGTAGATTAGTGCGTGTATGTGTGCATGCATGCATGTAGGGGGACAAGAATAGGAAGTGACTGCTAAAACATGGAGTTTCTACTTTGAGGTGAAGAAAATGTTCTAGAATTACATAGTGATGGTTGCAGAACTTTGTTTAAATTTAAATGAGTGTATTTTATGGTATGTGAATTATATCTCAATAAAGTTATTATAAAAATACCATAGAGGACAAACGTATGGACACCAAGGGAGAAAGTGGCAGGGGTGGTGGTGGTGGTGGGATGAACTGGGAGATTGGGGTTGACATGTATACACTGATGTGTATAAAACTGATGACTAATAAGAACCTGCTGTATAAAAACATAAATAAAATAAAATTAAAAAAAAATACCATAGAAGCAAAAATAAACAAATGAGCCCTAATCTAACTTAAAATGCTTTTGCACAGCAAAGGAAAACACCAACAAAATGAAAAGACAATCTACGGAATGGGAGAAAAAAATTGGCAAATGATGAGACCAACACTAGGTTAAATATCCAAAATACACAAACAGCTCATATAACTCAGTATCAAAAAAACCCAAACAACCCAATCAAAAAAATGGGCAGAAGACCTAAATAGACATTTCACCAAAGAAGACATACAGATTATCAACAGGCACATGAAAAGATGCTCAACATTATTATTAGAGAAATGCAAATCAAAACCACAATGAGGTATCACCTCACACTGGTCAGAATGGCCATCAACAAAAAGTCTACAAATAAGAAATGCTGGGGAGGGTGTAGAGAAAAGAGAACCCTTATGCACTGTTGGTGGGAATGTAAATTGGTGCAACCACTATGGCGAACAGTATGGGTGTTCCTTAAAAAAGTAAAAATAGAGCTACCATATGATCCAGCAATCCCACTCTTGGGGGTATATATCCAGAAAAAATAAAAACTCTAATTTGAAAAGATATATGCACATCAATGTTCACAGCAGCACTACTTACAAGAGCCAAGACATGGAAGCAACCCAAGTGCCCATCAACTAACAATTAGCTTAAGGACATGTAGAGAGAGAGAGAGAGAGAGAGAGAGAGAGAGAGAGAGAGAGAGAGAGAGAGGTGAGTGTGTGTGTGTGTGTGTATGTATTTATATATATACACACACACAATAGAATATTACTCAGCCATAAAAAAGGGATGAAATATTGCCATTTACAGCAACATGGATGGACCTAGAGAAAATTATACTTAGTGAAGTCAGACAGAGAAAGACAAATACTATAAGATATCACTTATATGTGGAATCTAAAAAATAATACAAATGAATCTATATATAAAACAAAACAAAGCTTTTGCACAGCAAAGGAAACCATAAACAAGATGAAAAGACAACCCTCAGAATGGGAGAAAATATTTGCAAACAAATCAATGGACAAAGGTTTAATCTCCAAAATATATAAACAGCTCATGCAGCTCAGTATTAAAAAAACAAAAACAACCCAATCCAAAATGGGCAGAAGACCTATAGACATTTCTCCAAAGAAGACATACAGATGGCCAAGAAGCACATGAAAAGCTGCTCAACATCACTAATTAGAGAAATGCAAATCAAAACTACAATGAGGTATCACCTCACACCAGTCAGAATGGGCATCAGCAGAAAATCTACAAATGCTGGAGAGGGTGTGGAGAAAAGGGAACCCTCTTGCACTGTTGGTGG